GCCATATAAAATCGTTATTGAAGGTGAAACGATAACAGAAACAAAATCATCAAATTTTTTGGGAATTATTCTGGATAACAAATTGACCTTTAAAAAGCACATAAATTCCGTATCAGATAAATTATCAAGATCCCTGGGCGCCATCAACAGAATCAAATTCTTTCTACCAAGACGCTCTCTAAATTTATTGTACAATTCAATATGCCTTCCTCACCTCGTCTACTGTAACATCATCTGGGCATCAACTTATCCCTCGTTAACACAACCGTTGCAAATGCTCATGAAAAAAGGAATGAGAATCATCACCTGCTCAAAATACAATGCGTCAACAAACATTTTATTTCTCTCAACACGCAACTTAAACTTCAGAAATCTTCACATGTATCACTGTGCTACTTTTGTTTTCAAACATTACGCAGGACTGCTACCCAAAGTTTTTTGTGATTATTATAACTTTGTTTTGACAAATAGGCACAGAAACATAATTCGTTGCAATAAATCGAAAACAAACATTTTATTTTTTCATATTTTATGCAACGGACCACGGATATGGAATAATTTGATAATTAATTTTGATTTAAATTCTGTTTATATACAAAAGTGCAGGCAACATTTAGAAAAAAACTGAAAAATATTTTACTGAACGCTTCAGTATAATCATCTAATGTATTCATCATTCACACTCATTCATACTCTTTCACATTCTTTCACACTCATGTATGTATGTATGTATGTATCGAAAAAATGGCTTCGAGACCGGTCAAAATAAATGAACTACTTTATTTTGTTAATAATAATTTAAATTTATTAGCGAAAGAATCATTTATTAATAATACTAGTGAATTTTATACTAATGACGATATCGTTTCAGCAATTAAAACATTAAAATGTGAAATAGAATCACTAAAGTTAGAAAAAATAGAAAAATTTCCCTCGCGCGGGAATTCAAAACGTGAAAAACTTCTGGAATGCTTGACTTTATTCAGGTATATTAAAAATAACAATTTGTTGGATAGAATAACATTATTTTGCAGTTCTGATATAAACAAAATACCAAACACGGAAAACTGGCTGAAAATAAATTTCGACTTTGTTAACAAACAAATAAAAGAAATGTTGTTCAGTCAACAAGCTGAAATTAACAAAATGTTTTTGTCTTACACTACCGAGTTGGATAATGTAAAAAATAAACTTAACTCTCTTGTTGGTGAAAGTCGTCAAATGTCAACAACGAAAAAAAATGTCAACAACGAAATTCCAACGACAAATAACGCGCAGCAAGATAACATTCTACAGGACAAAAATCTCTGGTCAAACAGAGTAACAACACCAGTGGAGAACTTACCGTTCAGTTTCGTACTGCGCAAAAACAAGCGTCCACGGTCAGACAACAGCAGCACCAATCGCAGTGAAACCAATAGCAACAACGCCAACCGTCAAAACAACAACATCATGAAATATTCAGAGGTTGCAAAAAAAGTTTCAAATAAAATTGTTGGAAACAAAGTCAGCAATGATTGCAAATTGAAAGCGGAGAAACAGCTGATAAAAAGTCATTTTTCATGATGAGCAACATTCAGCGATGCCACCGTGATGATGTTGTTGAATACTTGTCAACAAATGGAATCAAGGTAATTTCGTGTTTTCCTGTTGTTAAAAAGACAAATAATTTGATTGAGGGTAACAAAAACAACAATGATGATGAGCAGTCCACAATGTTTTCAGAGTGTGTGTCGAAAGTTGTGACGCCAGCAAGATGAAAGATCCTGACATCATTTTGAAGCACATCATCGTTCGTGAGTGGCGCTTCAACCAGAAAAAACCCGAAAAAAGTAATAATGTGAAACATGATTAGCACAAATGCAGCAAACAAAGAAAACCACCGCAAAACACTTAACAACAGGTGCCAAAAATTTGAAAATATAAACCAATTTAATAACCAATTTAAACAAATACATTACAATAATTCCAATGTAAAATCATATTTTAATCTCATGCATATCAACATCAGAAGTTTAATACACAAGGCAGATGAGTTGTTGATTATTAAACA